GGTGTGTCGGTGAGAATGAGTGCCTAAGAAATGTAACAGTGCAAAATGCATTAAAAGGTTGAACTTAAAGCTCCTTCAGTTCTCTAAGTTCCTTTCAATTTGCTTTGGAACATGTATATTTTATTATCTGCATCAAGCACAAGATTCTAAGCATATCCAGGCAAGCACACAATAATTAAGATAAAAATACTTACAGGTGATACAACTTAGACAGCTTCCCCAGTGACTTTGGAATAGAACCTGTAAAACTATTCAAATAAAGATCCAAGCTGACCAAGTTTGCCAAATTTCCGAGTTCACTAGGAATTGGTCCACTTATAGTGTTACTGGAGAGATCCCTGTCATCAACATCAAAGCTCAAAATGTCAAAGAAAACTAATAATGTGTTATCTGTCAAAGAAAGCTCATAAGACTGGAATTCGAATTACTTGGATGAATACTGATGCAAAAGTTGAAAGAACTTGAACGAACTGCTTTCAGAACCCATCATTTGAAAGATAAGAACTAAGAATGCAACTCATCATGTTAAAGAGAAAAACACCAGCAGTTGAATATCTCATAATCTATATGCAACTGAGCTCCATAGAACATATGAGCACAATCCTCTACATTAATCAATGAATCCTGCCGTTTGGGTCATTTTCATGTTTTCACAACCACAAGCACTTGATTATTACATATAAATCCCTGTTTTCTATATACAGATATTCTTAATTTTCTCAATATTTGACAATTTTCACACTATAAAAGGAACATGATCACAGTTCAGTTACACTTAGAAACCAGTCAAGTTTAATCAAGATTAACACTTCAATCAAGAGGTGGCAAATGTAACCTAGCCACAAATTATGCAAACAAGTTCTTGATTAGATATTCTTCCAAACACTTAAAGCAGCAATTGGTTTAGATCCTTAAAAAAAAAGTCTAAAATTTTTGGATTCCTCACTGGTTTGCTACATAAGTTCTGCTTGTTTAAAACCTAACATGAAAAGTACTATTTTTGCATTGGACAGCACAAAAACACAAGATTTTCTTTTGGCATGCAAGCACACACACATATAGAGAGATAGAGAGAGAGAGAGAGAGACACACACACACACACACACCAAATAAATGAAAATAATAGTATTTCTGGGCAAGGCACGACTTACAAGTAATGCAAATTCTTAAGCTGTCCCAGCTGTGGAACTAGTTGCCCAGATAAAGATGCACCTCCAAGATGACTGAAAAATCCACAAAACAGCCATCATACAGAGAACACAATGCAAATTCAATATTAAATAAATATAAATAAATAACTTAAGATGTTGAGTGGTAACCAAACACTCAGAGGACAACTAAGAGAAAAAAACTTACACTTGAGTTACACTACTATCATTGTCACATATAACATGAAACCATGTGCACGGGTTGACAAGGGTAGGATCCCAGCTCTGCAGGACATTGTTAGGATCATTTAAGTTGGTCTTCAAGCTATTTAGT